ATCATGGTAGCTTGATTGTAGAATCGAAGCCCGCTAGACAGTATCCTAGTTGTGAAAGAAATCAAAATGTACCCGATTGTTCTTTCTACACCATTCATACAACTGGGTCGTTAAGAAAACATTTGCAGCTAACTTGTTTTCTCATCTATTATCCTGGGCAAATACTATTACATGTGTGTTTTACGACTCTCTATCGCTATTGAAAAAATCATCAACCTCATCGAATTAAATGGAAAAGGAATAGTCATTGTAAGAGGAAACCACGCACTATTCACTATTTTCCAATAACGATTAGCTTAAGCAATCGTCATTGATCAGTCTCTTGCTCTGACTACACCGTCAATGAATTGCGCTACCGCGAACTAAATTGCCTAAGCTGAGTAAGTGTTGACAAAGGATTGTTGATTTGACTATCCAATTGAAACATCCCATCCATCATGAGCTCCTTGGCGATTTTAGCCATCACATTCATCCAGTATCGAATAAATTTCAAAAAACAACATTCTCTCCCTACTGACTACCTACTTTACCCTATTCTCACCAGTATCTCTTGGATATAGTACTATTTTCAACACTTTTGATCAATATACCCAATGGAACAGATACTGTAGAACTAATAACACGTTCAGTTTGAAGATTGTCAGTGGTGTTGTTAATTTATTTCTTGGACATTTTAAAAGGCGTCAAAACCGAGATTTGTCAAGGTGAAAAGTTTTTTCTCTTATTAACTTACTCTCTCTTGACTCTTATCACAGCCGCTTTAGACTATAGAGGATTTATTTCGTCATTAATAATTTACTTTGATCGATAGCTAGTGCTACCTGATGGCGATTTTCGGATGGATCACCATGCATTGAATGGGGTGTTGTAAGCCTTCGAGTTTTTCTTTCCCTTCACTACTCTGTTGGTCCTACCATGATGATGACTATGTAAATTTGTTCAGTTCTTGAGAAATGAGCTATCATCAGTCAAGTTAAATACGAGTAAACTTGGTGGTCTGATGATCGATACTGTATTATTGATAAGCATTTTTTGACACTATGAGTGATTAGCATTAATACCAGGTGCTTTTTATCCGACGATAACAAGCCAATAGAATGGTTAGAAGCTATTTGAACAGGGATAGCGCCACTAACTCGATAGCCGATTGTATTACAACTTGTCTACCATCAAAATCATGATCATCAATCATGGTACCATGGTATATTCAACATGGCATGGAATAGGATTGATTTTCAACATCGATGATTTGTTGTAGTAGGCAATTTATTATACCTATCCGATTCGATCGACGCAATTGGCTGTTAGCGGTAGGCTATAGCATCATTTCAATGGTATATAACATATGGATAGTTTAAAAAGAATTCATTTTTCTTTTCGGGGGGTTACAATATTGACTGTGATCACTCGTATTAAAACTACAAGTCATGCCAATCATATTGCTTGATTCTTGGCAATATTTTCGGCTAATTTACGGTACATGATCACTGTATCTTGCTAGTCTTGACCGTTTGATAAGATGCTATTTTTACTATCCAACCTATTTGCTTTTCTACAACGATGGTAGAATAGTGTCTTGCTCAATCGGAGATATTATTCTTGATGAGTATTGTTGGGTGGCAGTTATGGCGCTTACAATTAATTTATCCATGTCCGTCAAGGCTGACAGGCTATTTTCTTCCTTTCCAAAGCTGGACAAAATTCTTCTCTTTGTTATGATTTAAATAAAAAAAAAAAATAGGGGAATTTTTTTGTCCTTACAAGTGCCTACAAGTCTAGTGTATCATGGAATAGTTGAAGTTTATCACTGTAACCATCTATTGGTAAGGAATAGATCATATTATAGGTAGATGTTTCTGTTGAGGGATAATATGCTGTGCAAAGAGCTTAATTTGTGTATCGAGCACCTTTTCTATATTTCAATTCTGGCTATAACATGGTCAAGATAAGTTCTTTGTCAGAAAAATGGCTATTTTGACCGGGACCATCATATTGAAATCGACTGTACTAGATGGATAAAGCACTTCCCTTTTGATTGCTATTATTAGAGCAATTTAGCTTTCAATATACAGGAGGGGACATTAAATTGTAAGGCTAAATGGAGAGCTATGGCATGGTCCAGTAGGACAGTTATTTCTTTTCCCTCTCTCTCTTCAATATTATTTCTCGACAATAGCCATGATTAATATCCTTGCTTTAGTGGTCAGCCTGCAAGGTATTTACAGCATTGATCATCATAATGGCGTAATATTGAAAGAAAAACACACGATTCATCCATGTACACCACCTGCTGCGTAATTCCTCTCCACTAATTTAACCTGCAAAATATTCAATATCGACTCTTCTAAGGAAAAAGTTCTTTTGGGGGCCATTTTGGAATTTACAATACACCACCCACTATGGTACTGCAGTGTAGAAAATGAATTTTTCAATAGTAAGATTTCTTATTGCCTTTACTGCTTAGGAGTTGGTGGATTTCCATCATCAATATTCATGATGTATCCTACTCATTTTATAAATTTGGACCGATCTTCTAGCGTGTTTCAATCAGCATTTTTTTCTGGGGGGGGGGAAATTTCTTTTTAATTCAATTTGAATTGAACTTTTAATCATATTTTTCTTCATTTCTTTGCTAATTTTACAAGTCTTATCTACAGCAATTCAGATAATCTACTTGCAATACTGTACAACTTCTACTAAGATAATGACTGACACATAAGATTTAATCCATCACTTTAGCCACTCTTGTCGATAGAGAATAGATGAACAAAGTTCTTAAAAATTTTTCACTGTCATTGCAATTCCACTCGCTATCGATATTCTTAAAATATTTTTCCAAATGGATTGATTGAGGATATGACTTCATGTTTACTCGTCGCTCAATCAATCCATCCTTACTGTCTTTCATAGTGGAATTGGAAATGCAATTTTTCATTCGCAATATCCATTCACAGAAATAATTTCCGCTTTGAATTTTAAATGCTACAACAGTTGAAATGATTTTTTTTTCTTCTAAATCTGTTGCTTTTGAGTTTCTCAATGACTTTTGCTTAAAGGCTATTTTGCATATAGTTTGACCGCGATAATTTTATCTGAAAAATGGAACAACCACGCCAAAAATAGTAGATACAAGGCAAGAACAGTACTATCGCTTTATTAACAACGAGTTCTTTCTCTTATAGGCAATTATATTATTGTGGCTCATCATTTCATAGGACACAAACCTGCATCCATGACGACTGAACTTTTAGAATATCGACAAGAAGTTTAAAAAGATTATTGTAAGCTGGTGATAGCTAATTGGGGGCGATACCATTTCCAATATCGTCAATAATTAATTATTGAATTAATCTTCGCCATTCAATCTCCGCTTGAACAAGGTTAGTATGATTAATACAACATCGATACATTATCCTTCGTCAAGTGTTGAATTGTTCTACAATGTTATGGCCTAATCATCATCAAATAACTATTCACAGTGACGATATCCTTTTGCCTTGATTAGCACGTAATTATTATTTGGATTATATTAACGATAAACATATGGACGGCTAATTAGTCCAAAGTGATCCTAATTTGACCCAATTGCATTGAGTATCACTAAATTGAGACATAATGGATAAAAATATGACATAGCAGTACTAATTCCATGGATACTTGTATTTAAAGTAGTGCCAAGTGTGAGTATGAATTGAAAAGAACGATTGAAACATGGCGATGAAAAGGATAGTTCAATTCGGATCGATCAATTAGGCAATTGTGCAAGTCAAATTGCAGTCTGTTCTTTTCTACATATTGATTCGTTATTCATCGATAGTACTGTACATGCATAATATACTCTTGTTGTTATTTCATCAACATTGATGTTAAAATGTTTTCTTCTCCTTGAACCTCCTTTCAATCGATCAATACGTATAACTTTGATTTAGTACGTAAGCAATAGTGGAAGGAAAATTCTACCATTGTAATAATGTATTACCCTACTAATCATATACCAGTAATCTTTCATTTTGTTTTCTTCTCCCTAATTTGACCATTGTTGCAATTAGATTTGAAAAGCAGTGATAACTTATAGAATGTTTAATGGAGATGACGTATAACTGAGTTTGTACTTTTTAGTCCACTTGCTAGCGTATTAGAATAGAAATGATCGAGAATTGAATACGGATAGGGACAAAAAAATAACGGGAAAAAATAGTAGTTATCAAAAAGTAACTCTTCATTAATAACTACAACGTTATAGAGAGTAATTGACATTTATAGTCTAGTATAAACATGACAACTTTTAATAGGATATTATAGCCAAGGATAGAATTTTCGATTTTCTAAATCCATGACAAAGTTGATCATTCAAGTAGTCAGTGACAAGCTAGGGAGGATTAACCTACACTAATTATCTAATTTCTTTACACGTTTAAATAATTATTCATTTCTAGGTCGATTTTTTGACAGTATCCACTCAGTTTTGATCGATTCAACATTATTAAAAGCTTTTACAAAATACGAGTAACATCCTACTCTACTACTTCATAGTAATAAAGAATAGCATGGAAAGATTCCATGTGTACATATATAATATATACGATAAGTAAGGAATCAACCAAATGATTGTCTTTGATGGGCTTTCCTTAGGGAATTTCGAATGAAATTACTACAAATTTACAATTAAAGATGCTTTTTATCTTAGTTGTAACACTAATTAGAAACTCTTGTGGTATATGAGTGTGTTTTTAAAGTCTTCAAATTGAAATAACAAGACATAAGTGGATACGAATTTCTTATTATAACTTTTAATTTAATTGAACATTATTATTATACTTCTATAATCGACTTATGTACCTTTTTTGAATATTATGTATTTATAATAAATCATGATAATGAGCTAATGATACATGTGTTAATAAATAGGATACAAAAAATAATATATGTAGAGTACTTTATTTCGTCAGTACTTGAATTGGATTTTTTATTTTTCAAAATAGAAGAATTCAAATTTCAAGATGGAAGATTTAAAAACTCAATTAGATGAAAAAACCACTGCATTAAAAAACCTGCAACAATATCATGATAAGATGCAAGAAGATGCTAAAGAGGAAACTGAAGCCCTAATTTCTCAAGTTAAAAGTTTACAAGATCAACTACTTGAGGTGAAATATAATTATAAAAAGTAAACTGAGTAAAATGTTCTTGACATTTTTGCTTATATAAAGTGAAGCAGTAGTCTTGGTATGGGATGGAAATGGATTTCTTTAAATTATTTTTTAATTTAGATATCTTAAAATTAGCTTACTAATTACTTCCTTTAACATTCTCATTGTGTCTCCTGTCATATAATAACGGTTAAAATGGTATTAACGTCTACTATAGAGACGTATGTAATCATTTTCTCGGTGTTAAGAATAAAAAAAAAGTTCTATCGATTGCCTTTTACTAAATGTTAAATCTATTCTATTATAGGTGAATGATCTTATGGAAGTAAAAAGTCTAGAAACGCTGAATAGAGATCAAAATGAAACGGATAAACTAGATGCAATGATCAAGCGTAATAAGAATTTGGAACAAACAATTTCAAACCTTTGGGAAAAGTTAGAACAGAAGAACAATGAATTAAAATCTTTTGTTAATAATAGTGGTAATTATATATCTCCGTTATCCAACGCGGAAAACACATTAAATCCTACGCAACAAAGCTTATTAGATTTACCAAGTGCTCAAATATCATTTCAAGCTCTATTATCCAAGTTAATGCTTCCATCTGATTTACAAACTGATCTATATAATTCATTTCATCAGTACTATAACTCGGTCAGTTGTCTTCACAATTTATTTGAACTAGATGACAACGCCATATTAAAATCGGATGGAAAAGACGAAAGTAAAATTGCAACCAATGAAAGTAATACTGATTTAGTTGAAAAGTTAAAATATCGCCTTCAAGGAATCGCAAGCTCGATACAATCTATTGCTCAGTATATTTATAAATTAAGTCAAGCGTTAGGTGTGGATGGAATTAAAAATAATCGTAATTTGGATACAGCTAACAGTAAAGATCATGATTTAGAAGAAATCAAATCTCAGCTACATCAAAATTATAATGAAATTATCCAGTGGATTTCAATACAGAATTCGTTAGCTGTTGAAAAAATTCAAAAATCAAAAGACCAACGTATACAACAACTAGAAGAAGCTATTAATAATCAAGATAATCAATTAATTCAATTAAATCAAATGAAAGATAAATTTGAAAACGAATTGCTAACTCAAGATCGACAAAGTACCAATCATATTGATAAACTAACTCAAAAATTAACCGATTTTAAGGATGAAAATTCTCATTTAAATCGTAAATGCCTAGAACTTGAAAGTTTATTAAAAAAGGCTACTGATGACTTTCACCAGAAAAATAAATCGTATGTACAACAGTGTCAAGGTATCCAATTTAAAATTGAGGATATGATCGTTACCAATCGACAAGAACTTGATCTACTACAGAAAGAATACGAATTAAATAATTCAATAGATGGCGTAACAGCAGATAGTGGTAACAATTCTATTCAATTGCTTGACACCGAAGAAATTAAGATTCAGCGTAAAGAGTCGTTGAAAGAGTTAGAAATGAAATGGGAAGAATTACTTCATAGTGCTAAGATGGAAATTGTATCACTTAAAGAACAACATAATCATGAAATACAACTTCTTGATGAAAAATATCGTGCAGATGTTGATAAATTACAAAAGAAATTAGAAGATAAGCCATTCAATGAAGCTGAAAATAAGAATCAAGAAGAAGAACTAATATCATCTAATTATGGTAATGTTGTACTGCGAAAAAAGAATCGGAAGCAAAATAATATGCGTCCTTGGAATACTAATATCAAGTCCGATCAAGCCATTAAGTCGGCACTACTGAACGGCGATCAATCACAGCCGTCATCGTCAATAGTTACAGACAAATTGAATATAAATACTAACCGTATTGAAAATTTAAAAGTGCAATTTCATCAAGAGATCACTAATTTGCTCACTCAAATTGATCGCTTAATTGTTAGTGAAAATGCAGATAATCAACAATTGCAAGCATGGGCAACTGCAATTCAACAACTTCATACGGTTTATCAAGCTGAAGTGGATCTTTTATTTCAAGAATATAAAATTTTACAGCAGTCATTATCGATTGACAAACAACAAATAATTGATAACTTAACTAAGCAACATCATGAAAATATACAAAAATTGAAGGAAACACTTGCTGCTGAAGCAGCAGAAAATGATTCAGTTAAGAGAAAAGAACTTGAAGATCATTTTAATGAAAATTTGATTAATGTAACTGAAACTATAGAAAAGCAATGTCAACAACATTACAAGGAAGAATTATCTATCATACAGAAACAAATGAATAAAGAAATAGATGACATGAAAAAGAGACATCATCAAGAATGGCTTGATTCACAAGATAAGGAAATCAATTTTTCATTAGCACTAGAAAATTTATCTGTGGATCAGCAAAATTATCATCAAATATTACTTAAGAAAGAGGATGAAATATCGTCTAGATTGGAGCAATTTTGCGTTACCGAATTGGAATTGTTGAGAAATAAGTTAAGTACACTTGATGATAAAACATCAATTATCGATCAGTTGCAAGACAGCTTGCTTCACTATAAACGTACCATGTTACAATTCATGTTTGAAGAAATACAGAAATATTACCAAAGTCATCAAGATGTAATAAACACATATCATCACAAAGTGGAAGCAAAAATGATGAATCTATACCAACAAGGTCTGGATAGTGTACGTCAACAACATGAAGATAATATGAAAAAGATAAAAGAGGAAACTACAGCAACTTTAACATCACATCATGAAGTAGCTATGGCCCAGTTGAAAGATAATTACCAAAAGGAACTATTAAGTAAGATGGAATCGGCAAGGATCTCTTTAACGGCAAAATTAAATGAACAACATGAAGAAGAATTAAATAATTTACGTAATCATTTGCAAGATACTTATGAAAATAGCATTAGGGTAGCATTGGATGAATTAAAACGAAAAGAAAAACTATCTCAGGAAAAATTTGATGAAAGAGTTGAAAAAACCGTCGATGAACTACTTGAACAACGATTGATGCAATATAATAATGAAATAAAAAAATTGCATGATCAAACCATTGATTTGGAGAGAAAGTTAGCCGAGCAACAAAATATCAATGCTTTCGCAAATGTTGAGAACGGCTCTCAGAATGTTGAAATTATTACTAACGATACAATAGATAATGCAAATGATCATACTAAAGAAAAATCAAGAGATGTTCAAATGCAAGAAAGTAAATTAACTGATGGAAATGCAGAGGATATAAAACCTATAACAGATTTTCCCCGTGACTATCAATCTATCGTCAGCTCAATTGAATATTTACTGAACATTTCGAGATATCATGCGTCTATGGATAGCAATAAAGATAGCGATAATAATAATACATTATCATTGTTATTAACAGAAATGGTATTTGAATATCTCAAGAAGTTGGTACGTGGCCAAAAGACTGGAAAGCAAGAGCTTTCAGAGTCGGAAGTGGAAAAAATTTGTGCTTTAATAGAAGAATTAGAAAAGAAATGGACAAAGATTACACGTGATGATTGGATATCAGTGATTAATAGTAGCGCTTTAATATCGTCTCAGAAAGATGATTTTAACCTTTATGATGCTTTACCATACACTTTAACAACACTTAAAAATCTCATATCAAGCAATACGAATGATACAGATGAAATATCAGTACAGGGAAATGATTCTTCGAAGTTACGTTCACCTCATTATTTGGTGGTAATTCTCGAAACTGTATCTCAGCTTCTATTAGTAAACGCTTTGGAATTAGCACTTAATTGCAAATCACTAAGTAACAGTAAAAGTAACAGCAATTATAATGGAGGGCTTGTTACGGTTTCTACTACAGAAGGTAGACAGTCCTTTCCTCCGTTATATAAAGATTTTATGTTGCAATTAATATCGCAATTGGAATCAATGAAAAAAGACTTAAAACAGGTTCTTGAGTATTTTAGTACGATGAATCATGGTACTACTGAAGTTACTGCCTCAACGATGAGGCAATATTTGCAGCCAATGTTGAAGAAAATCATGCAATTTATTGGAGATCCGACTGTAGTGGAAGAGACGTCTCGTCCTAGACTTGCTGATGAGCATATGAAAGCGCCAACTATTGCAGATAATGGTAAGAATAATAATGGCAGCGTAGAAGAAATCAATCTGAAAATAGATCGAAAAGTTATAACCTCCAAAAATTTGACAAGGGATCATTTTAATTACCTTGAAGCTATGATTGTTCAAAACTATCAATTTGATCGAATACTCGATTTAGAAATTGATAGAAAGTCGGTTGTTTACAGTCAAATTCAACTAGTAGTTGACAAGGAGTGTTTGGCTTTCGAAAAGCGCTGTAAGGCTCGGTTACAACAACAACTTGATTCAACCTTCACTAGTAATGAAATTAATATTTTAATGGAGCAATGTAATAAAGCTATAAAGGAAATACAAAGATACAGAAATCAATTGACGACTGAGTCAAATTCTAAAAGTGTTAATGATTTGAACGTTGCTAAAGAAAAATTTTATTCCGATTTAGTATCGCAAAAACAATTTGCAACGTGGCAACGCCACCGTATTGATGATGAAATAATCTGTTCATTAATCATTAAAGAATTGTTTATAATGCAATTAGATCAACTTGGTAAACAACAGGAATGCTTGCTTCATAAATTAGAGAAAGATGAAACATTTACTATGCAGCAGAAATCGATTATTAATCAATTGGATGTGTTGGATAGCGATTTGCAACAAGAGAACCGGTTATTACGAGATTGGTTAGTTGAAGGTGATACATATGGATATAATAACTATACAACTAAGTCAGATCAGTTGGACTATAATTCTTATCCGTCAAATAGTAGTGATCATTCTACTATATCTTCATATGTATTGATCAATAATATGAGCAAAAAAGGAACGGAATTGAGTTCATATTCTACCGGGCAAAATAGCGAGCAGGAGAGTAAGGCATATTCTCGAAATGTTAGTGCAAGTACACCGATAGAATCTTCGTTTAAGAGGGTTAGCTTTACATCCCCGGCTCGTTCAAACAATAATGTTTCGTCCTGTAAGAGAAGTCCATCAAACGAAGGTAGCCTTAACTTGGGTAGTAAACTAACTGACAGCAGCCTAGCGAGCTCGTCGTTTGGCTATCATGTCAATGACGCTAATACTTTCTATAGCTCGAAAAGCAGTAGAGATAAATACAGCTATCACTCGATATCCAATATTGCGTCTCCGACTTCAAATGAATTAAACACTCTTACAAGCTATAATTCTCGAAATCAATCAAATCATAGTCGTTCTAGTCTATATCGTCAACAGAGACTAACTCACAATTCAAAATATTGGGAAGAAATACAAAACCTTCGTCAAGATCTCGCTCTTCATCAGCATTTGCGGTCACAGCAGGATATATTTAATCTCAAGTAATGTTGGTTTTCGATTCGAACAATAAATCAGAAGGTCAACTTAAAGTTTCGACGCTAGATAATATATTCCAAATTTTTTTAACTAATTAAGTCTTAAACCCATTGAGATTGTTTTTAGTGTACTAATTAAAAATTAGAGTGGATCTGTTATTCCTGCTAGCTATGCTTGTTGATTGTTTAACGATTGCTATGAAGTGACTATGTAATTTGAAACTATGAAAGTAGAGAGTGAAATTCGATTACTAAGAAACCTTTTGCATCTGATTGTGGTCGGTATGAAAGTAAGCAAGTGATTATTATATTGTATTTTGTACAAGATTTAGCACAAATTTAGATTTTTGCCTACTTAAGCCTCAGCATTTATCATTTATGAGAATGCAGCTTCCATACTGTTCGTTCTATCTTATTGCTATAAATACGATATTACGAGCACAGACTATAGTAGAGAAACTTTATTTCCGCACCTGTTGATGTTCTTGTATCATGTGTTGGCAATTATCATTCAATAATGATTATAAACCAGACATCTAAAATTGTTACCGCTATCATGAGTACTTTATAAAAATTTTTCATGTACGGCTTGATTTCAGAATTGTGTAAAAAGGCTATTAAGTTAAAGATTTGACAGTAGTATTCCCGCTATAGAATCATAGTTTTGGTTGCAATTTCTTTAACGGCGATAAAGAATAATGATTCACACATGATAAGAACTGATTTAGATACCCATGTAAGTTACGTACAAAGTTTATACGATTTTATGATAATTATTATATTTTAGAGTTGTAAATAGGCATTTTAAACCATAAAGCCTGTCAGTATTATTATTGCATATATTGTATTACACTTTCAACTGTTTATTTCCGTATAATTTTTTGTGAGGTAAAGTTAAATTTACCTCGCTTCGTGCAACTGCTAACTCGAACAGTTTAATTTGGTTTAATAGTGCTAAGCAAAATTGTAGCTAGCAGTTTGCTCTGCCTATCAAAGCAAATTTTCCTGTAAGTATATTTAATAGTAAAGAAACTACTGTTTCTGAACTAAAGCATTTCTTCCTCACTTTTAAAATTACATATATATTAAGTCTATACAAATATTTGATGAGATATGCAAAGTTAAAAGTTTTATTCACATTTTCTTTCATCTTTAAAGAAACCAATGGTAAACAGCTGCGAAAGTTACTAAAGTAATAAATATGCAATCTTCTACCCAGAGTAATGTTGTAGATGTTGTTTGTGGTGAGGATAACTGGTTCTCAGTTCAAAGCGATAAGGCTATTTTTTGCTGTACTAGGATTTACAAGAAAGAAAAATACCTAAAAAGTATCTATAATGTACTACTGTGTTGAGTTATAAGTCACTGCGGCAGAGGATTACCTCATTTTTGTCTCTTTAGAACAGTCCTGTCTTATATTGCATGAAATTGTATTTGATTTGGGCAATTAGTGGACATGCACGTACATGCTTATCGATACCAGCTTTAGTACCTATTACATGCATCGTCTAAATTTTTATCAAGTAGCAAGTGAATATGCAGATACCTAGATCGTACTGTATACATGTGTGTGCGTCCATCTATAAACATGAATCAGGTAATTTGCTTTCTATACTCATTTCCAACTTGATACCAAACATAGGATATATATGTGTAGGATGAAGTTTGTGTTTTTGTTGAAAGCAAATTCACTATAAAATCAGCTAGAATGGCAGCTAACCGATTTGCTATTAGTTAAAGCACAACTGATATTCAATCACTGTTACATAATTTGGATAAATTGATAAAAGTATGCACTAAATCAGTAAATGACGTGCATAATGTAATTAACTCTTCATCAGCTGCATCCCGGTAATCATTGGATTCTTTGCTGCATAAACAAAAAAATTACTTTTATTTAGGATAGTTATCGGAAATCAGTAGACAAATTGTAGATTAATTGAACGTTTCCAGATCAATTAAATGATTTAAAAGGCTAGTTTAATAAAATGGTGCATTTACATTCATTTTGTTAGTTGTTAGTTCGCATAGTAGTTGCTACTATTACGATATTATTGAATCAATTTTATCTTCTATTCCTTTAAGGTCATTCCTCTATGCTTTGTTAGCATAACATAATTTAATCTTAACAAACGTAGAAACTAGCTCGTTATTTAAATAAATTTTATCATTTACGATATTCAGTTAGCTATGATTTCTTGCTGAGCATGATTATCCTCTTCACAGCGGTCAAGAAATTGGCAATCCAGATCAAAGAGGAAGTATTTTAAGATCTACGATTTTACTGACTTCAGCTAGTCTCAAAGTTTGTGTATTTTATTACGTTACTTGCTTTTATTTGACACTAAAAGCAAGAACTGTTCGCAGCAACAATGTTCTCTACTATTTTATAAGAAAATTTTCTCTTCACTAATCGTAAACTAGCCGTGATTAAGCACTTTGGCAGTCGTTAAGAAATTAACAATCCAGCGCAAAATAGGAGGTATTAATTGGTCCAGATTACATTACCCTGTCATGGAATTTATGTATATTATTTCTTCTTATTGAATACTAAAATAATAACAACCGTTTTATAACAATAACGTATTTTAGTATTAGAAAAAAATTAAAAAAACTGTTAGTCAGACTGGCATCTATTGAATCTGATTTGAATTTGTATATTGTAATTAATTATTCTAATTTGTGTTGATTGATTGGCCATAGTATGGCTAAATTAGCTTGAAATTAATTAAGATTAATTGTGATAGTTTCTGTTGTTATTATCTTAGCATTGTTATTTAAATAAGATTGTAGAATGGTATCATTGTCGTGGATAGTAGATCTATTTTCCTCATCGGCGTCGCTCCTATTGATATAAAAATTAAATTGTTCCGTTAGGCATCAACGCTACGCTATAAGCTACTAAAAGCGTTGTAGCTGTTATGGAAACCCCATCGATTGAATATAAATGGTAGTAAATTATACATATTAATTATCTAATCGCTGTTCTTATAGATGTGTAGTACACTTTATCAATCGTTCTATAGGTTAATATATTTTTTATTGTATGCCAAGAACACTGAATAGCTTTGAAGGTTGAATTAATGCTTAAAGCTATAAACTATTATACGGTTGTATAGTAGACTCGAGAGGAAAGGAGAAGGAAACATATATTGATATCGGTACAAGAAACGCTAAAAATAACTCAAATCTTGGTAAGTTTGCTCATTTTACTAGATAGAAACTACAGTTGGAATTGAATACTACTTTCTATGTTAACAACATGGATATATGAGCGGCGAAAAACATGCTGTAATTATTTTGTCTATGTAGAAAATTGAACTTAAGCTGCATCACACCTTGTATTTCCTTTTTCATTACCGCTACGACATACAACAAATTATGATAGCATGGGCTGGTAGAATTAGTATCGATTTTAATATCGACCTAGCATCATACTAATGCTTGGAAATTACATTGTTATGCCTCTTCCGTCATGATAACTAAGTTAATTATTAGTTTAGTTCTATCTTCTAAGCTTGAGATTCAGTTAATTCGTTAAACATTGTACTCAGAAGAATTTTAAATTTACACACTTTATCATTACCAAGTTCAGCTTCGATTTCGTTGTTATTACTAACAAAAATGATGGACGCTATCAACTTTAGACATAATATATACCGATAGAGAATATGAAATTAAGTGATATTCAATTTACGTTTATGCTTGTCTTAGTTTAATGTAGTTCAATAATCGTAGGTAAATTTTAAACTTCCTACAATGGGTGTCTGCCTACCTAGGTCTAAGTTTAAAAGTTAGTTATTACATCCTTTGTGTACGTATCATTCTAGCTTCAATATAATTATACTGATACATGACAACAATTTTGATTTCAATTGGGGTTATACTTAAAGAAAGCGATATAATAATATTATACCTACTTGCATATCATACATAACTCGAGCAGCTTCATCTTGATCTCTATCATTATTCAGTACACTCAATAATCCGAAAAATAACGCCGTAGTTTAAATTCTGTTCTAACGGTTAACTTCGCGACTAGATCGTCTTGTGATTGCTTTTTTCAACATGGATAATTAATAAGTGATTATATTCGGTTAGTATAGCTAGTATCAAGTGATGTAAAAAATCGATCTGAATTTATAGATTGATTCAGCCTCGGGTGAGTCAAGAGAATAAAAAAGGTCTTAGATAGAAATTTTGCATCTGCTATAGAATGTCGACAGTGGCTTGTGTTTAATATATTTTTGCAAAAAGGAGAAGAGTAGCTCGTTTCATCTATTTACAGTAGTCTAACCAAAAATAAGTTTTAAATAATTTGATCCGACAACATTTGAAGTAACATTGCATGTCCTCGTCTACTTAATTATTACAATTGGCCCATAAAATTTGGCTTAGTAATGAAGGCAAGTCATTTTAGTATTTGGGATGGATCACGGTAATAGCTAATTTTTTCTATGTCACGTTTTTAATTCGCTATGACAGCAACGAGTTTAGAAGATCATCTATTTTTTCCTTAATTTCTCTATTTAAAAAGCAGACTGATGTAGATTAAAATCTATAAAGTAGCTTCGACATAGAGTTTTACAACCACTACGTGTTCTTTAATCGAGATATATACTACGCGATAGCTTACAAGTTTCTTGAATCTGTATCTCAAAATGATGATATAACACTCATTATTTCCGCTTCCTTACTTAAAGTTTATTTAGGTACTTATGGTAATATGTAATCTTCTTAAAATCTTATTTCCGTAATTTAGTTCAAATATGAGTAAATCGTGGAATGATAGTGAACAGTTAGCTCTATGCTTCCATGAGCTATTGATTTCCCCGTTCTGTATCTGCTATCATCAACTGAGAGATGAGAATCAAGGCGGCAGATCGATAGACTTACTTTTCATTTCACGCTAAAGTATATTATTTTATAAATGAATATCAGATACGATTCAGAAATCGGAGAAATTAGTATCATCTATTATAGCTATTATTTCTCCAAATTTCTATTAAA